GGAGAACGGACGAAAATCGGTGCGCGCGCAGGATGTCATCCATAAAATTAAAAAAGTGTGGCCTAAGTAAGCATTTTTAAAATTAAAGAGATTGTTACGTTCTGATTTTTTAGTAAGAAAGAGAGAAAGTGCATCAATTAGATAGTTGAGACCAGGAATAGGGTAAATTTTCTTTATTTCTGTAAATGGTGAGTTGTAGGAGACATGAGTATAACCGTCGCAGTCTATAAGAAAATATTATGAAATTGATTTTAATAATTAATTTGTAAGCAACCATTCATGATCTTCACCACTGTCAATCACTTGGTTGTTTTTCAGGGCTTCTCCTCCTTGGCCTCTTGGCTCTGTTGTTATTACTCTGCTTGTTATGCCTGCTGTGTGCATGGTGTTGTAGAAAGTAAGTACAACCTGACACAGCAGTCACACCTAACACATTGAATACTAGGACTATAATTGTAAAAATGTTTGCATTATGTTGAAATATGAGTGAAACTATGGGCTCACTTTTTGTTCCTTGAAAATTATCGAAATGTAAAAAGCTGAACTGTATTTTCAAATTTCAGATATATTTTTAAAATATTTTGTTCATAATGAATAGCGTTTGAATTGCCAATTTCAGGAGAAGAAGGCGACAGAGAGAGAAAAAAGCAGCAATGGAGTACATAAAACACAACTCTCTGGCAAGAGAAAGTGCTTACAGTTTGAACGGTGGCTATGGGGACAGCCGTCGTATCTCAGAGGAAATCCACCTAAAGGACATGCCTCGCGTGTTAGACTTGAATGGACAAGAAGTCCACAGCATCCACAGCAGCCTTATAGATGCCAGCTCAGACAGTGGCTATCATAATGGAGTGAGAGAAAGCCGGAGGATGTCTGAGGTCAGCCAGCTCAGTGCTGGAGGAGGCGGCAGTACTGGGTTTACTAATGGCGGCTTCACTGCCATCAGCGGCTATCCCCATGGGCGTAGAATGTCTGATGCGGGACATTTAGAGGGCAGGCGCTACTCCCACCTTCAAGTGCCCACTCATCTGTATGGAGCAAGAAGCCATGAGGATCTGCTGGGGCATATTGAAACCTCCTCAATGTCTGGGCACGCACAGAGGGCTTCAGGTGCGCGTCGTCAATCTGCTCTCAACGCTGCCCGCAGGATGTCCACCTTGGAGATGAAGCGTAAACATGAGCTGATGGGAGACGAGAATGCCAGAAGTGGAAGTATGAGCCTCGACAGACGCATTTCATTGGTCAGCACTAACTCTGCAGCGCCCTTGTTGTCAGCCATCAACCACACAGCCAGAGCGTTTGGCGAAATTACCGTGATGCCAATTGGGGACCAGCATGCCCATTCCCCCCATGCTGAGGTGGTCCTGGAGGAAAGCGTAGCATACAATTCTTCCAGTCAGGGCTTGATGCTGGACGCTGCAGAGAGCCAGTACAGTGCTGAGAGCTACGAGGCCCAGCAGCAGGGTTACGACAACCACCATGCCTATCTGGTCGGCCAGGGCGACCCGTACGGAAGTCAGCACTTCTCTGGTGCAGACAGTTATGGAATGTATGGAAGTTATAAACAATCTTAAGTCAGTTAGTTGGCAGATGTACATTTTTTACATATTAAGAACTCTAAAATCTCATCTCATAAGCTGCTTTTTGTTATGTAATCTTATTATGGATACATATTTAATTAATATTATTTTATTCCCTTTGAGTAGTTAAAATTTCTGTGTATTTAGAACAAATTTTGATGCATAATTGTTATGGTGTTTTTTGTCTTCTTGGAAGCATATAAAAATGGACTGATGTTTAGAATTTCACCATCACAACACAATATTTATTTAATTGATTGGAAAAAAAAATTATTCCCAATTCCAAAATTAGTTATAGATGTAGCATTGGTTGAAGTTTGGGTGAAAATTAGGTTATTGATCTTCTCCATTTCATAATATTCTCCCTTCTCCCTTCTCATTTGTTTTTTATTTATTCATATCCAGAAAAAAAAGCAATCACACTAATGTATCTTTAGCTAGGTTGGTAAAAAAATCAAAAAATCAATATTAGTAATAGTCTATGGCATAGCCCTATTTCTAGAAAATAGACCATCATTCTTAGTAAATTGCAGCAATATGAAATAATTGACTTATTATTAGCCTTCAACCAAGTGATTTTATCACTGCCAAAAATATGCTTTAGCATCAAGATTGGGACTCGGTTAGCTATGTATATGATGGAATATTATAATTGTAAGCCTAAATTTTATAGCAGAAGTAATAAGGAATCATTACCATGATATTTATCATTTGATCAGTCTTTGTATTTCCATTTTTGTGAAAGAAACTAATCACTTTAGTGAAAATTAAAAGTATTTATATATTACTATATGAAAATTAATTATGTGATTCTTGTAAGAATCTCTTAAAATTTTTTTATCAAATTCGTTTGCAGTTTCTGTGATAGAAGTTTCTTATGTTTGATAACTTCTAGCTTGATGGTAATAAATGTAGCATGTAGACCCTTTGTTCTTGTTGGTCGTTGGATCAATTTTCTTGCCTAATATTTCTACAGCCATGAAGCGTGACTCGCAGTTTGACGAATTCCATGAATAAAATAGACATCATTTTTGTAAACGAGATGGATTTTATCACTGAGAGAGTAATCATTTTTTAATGTAACTCTGACTGAAAGTAAAAATGATCAATCACAAAAAAAAAAAAATAATAA